AACACTGTTCATGCATGTATGGGCATAGAGCAATGTGACTTGCACCCTGAAACTGCTAGTATTATTGTTTTATCGTTTTCTGGACATAGGACTTGTTGGTACCAAGTTCTGCTAGAAGAACCCACCCGAAATTTAGGGTTGTTTTTCCCTGACTGCTGTCTCTTTTTCTCATGTGGAAGATGGGTTTGTCTAAAATGCAGCTTGGGTATTTGCAGATTATAATTCTACCATGTATAGGAAGACTTCTTACATGGTAACCATTTCAAGGATGGCAAGAAGGGCTGTAGAAGGTGACTAAACCTGTGGGAAATGTGCACTGTATTCATAATTGAATAAAAGCTAAGTCAAAGAGGTGCATTTTTCTATATTAGGTTAGCAAAATCCTGAGAAGATAATGGAGATCAGTGTGGTTAACGTTGTGTTGAGGTGACATTCTCATGACCTTTCCAGTGCACGGGTAGGCTAGACCAGCCTGGCAGCAGGACTTTGACTAACAAAAGGCTGAAAAATACAGATTCCTTGTTTTATCAGTTCTACTGCTTGGAACCCATCTATTAAACATGTCATAGATATAAAATGGAGTAAAAATCACATAAAAAACAGGTAGATAACTTTCAATATAAACAGATTATTGAATACTAAGTATTTATTATAATTAAACTGTAGATAAATATTTGCTGATATAATTGTTCATGAGATGTTGCTGAACAAAATATAAAAATAAAAAACCTTGCATTAGTATGTGATTATGTAAAAATCATTCTGCAGAATAAGTTATATCAGAAATAATAAATCACCAAAATCCCCGTCAAAGTAATTTTACTTATCTAGGATGGCAAAATTGCTGGTGGTTGCTCTTCCTTTGTTCTTGCTTTTTGCTTTTTATTTCTCTGTACTACCCAGATTTACTGGATTTAGCACAGATTAAATACTGTTTTTTAGTATATTGGCTGTGATTAAGACTAAAGTGGGCATATAACTGCAAAGTTAGAGGCTTAACACTACTTATGCTTACCCTAAGGCCATTGGGAATTGATTGGGGCAGGTTTTTTGCAGGTTTCCTGTCTCTCTTCTGTGTGCCCTGATACGAGAAGACTGTGATTGGAGGGTGACTGTTTTTTCTTCCAGATATAGTGAGGACCAGTATTTAAATTCTGATTTAAAAAATCATGAATCATGGAAATTATTCAAAGTCATTTGCATTCAGGAATAGAGGTTGCCGTAGGTAGCAATAGCTCTGTATGGTGGAATAAGCCTTGAAGATTCTACTTCTCTTTCTGTTATTGCTGTAAGGAGAAAGGAGGTAGATAAACAGGCCTAATTATTCTCTATACTGTGTGGGTCACAGTTGTCAAGTGCCCAGGGAGAAACCTTGATTCAGTGCCTATTAAATCCCATATTTTTTATGACAGGTCACTGTTATACTTTTAAAGAGTTTCATTTTCTAAAAATTAGTTTGTAGAGTAGCATTTAGGAGGCAGTACAGATTACGGGAAATAGGCTGACACATCAAAGGACATTGAAATAGGAATTAAAAGGCAGAAAGCCTGAGTTCTGGGCCCACGTATGTGACTTAATAACTTTGGGCCTTTAAACAATTTCTTTGTCAAAAATAGGTTGATAGTAATACTGACTCAGAGCCTGAATTAATGTGGGCCCAATAAAATTTAAAGAAAACAACAAATAGTAATTTAAAATAGGCAAGACTCCCCTTCTCTTGGCATGAGGTGCTCCTTGTGTGAGTCCATTCTCATGCTGCTAATAAAGACATACTCAAAACTGGGTAATTTATAGAGAAAAAGAGGCTTAATGGACTCATAGTTCTGTATGGCTGGGGAAGCCTCGTGATCATAGTGTAAGGTGAAGGAGGAGCAAAGGCATGTCTTACATGGTGGCAGGCAAGAGAGCATGTGCAGGGGAACTGCCCTTCCTAAGACTGTCAAGTCTCATGAGAATTATTCACTATCACAAGAACAGCACAGGCAAAATTTGCCCCCATGATTTAATTACCTCCCACCTGGTTCCTCTCACTACAGGTGGGGATTATGGGAGCTACAATTGAAGATGAGATGGGGGAGCAGTGCATAGCCAAACCATATCATCTTGCATAGAGTCCCCTGTGAACCCATGGACATTGGTAGAAGCGGTGATAAAAGATCACAGTGGCTCTCTGGGAGATCAGAGATGACTGCACACAAGAGCTGCATTGTCCTTCCTTCTCACTTTGTGCTCTCTTCTCCCATTTCTCAAACCTTTCCTAGATGGAAGTTCATACGTTCCACTCTTTTACCTGGACACATTTGTTGAACTGCTTATTGACCTTCTAAGTGATTAAGAGACTTGATCAAATAAGAAAACCATATGAGAAAGCATGTCAAATACATAAGTATACTTTATTATGTTCTTCCTAACCCATCATCGTAACTTATGCAAATGTCTTTCTTTCATCCTGTTGGTATTCATCACCTTCAGTACTTTAAACTTTTTAGCTATGGTTGCATTTTGTCAAATCATGTTTAATCTGTTCCTTACTCTTTTCTCAAATTCTACTCTGTTGATATTATTTCCCCAAAACTTCTCACATATTCTGTTTGTAACAGATTTACTTTTCCAATACCATTCCAATCCCCATTGGTGATATTACTGTAATTACCTCATAAAATTTAAACATTTCAAAAATTAGATGGAATGTTCAATAAGAAATTTGGATGACTGCTTTTTTTGTCATATATTTTAAGTAAAATTCTATAATGGGGACTTTTTAGGTTTTCCTGTCTCTATTAACTAGACATAGCTAAAAACATGGGCAAAGGCTACTGTGGAAATAAACATCTCTTAATGTAAAACGCAGGATGCTTAGATATGGCATAATAGAAAATATCTTTTAACATTTACACAACCGTGGTTCCATGGGGGATATGTAATATAATAGCTTTAGGCAAGAAAATAATTTATATTTACTCTCAGTCTTTTATGGAGATGGGGATTTTGTAATGCCTTGGTAAATATCACCCTCAGTTAACTATCGCTTTCTCTGTTGATCATTGCTAGATGATATATATAATAAATACTTCAGTCCCCCTTTTAGTCCATTTGAGCCACTATAACAAAATACCATAAATTGGGTCCTTGTAAACAGCAGAAATTTATTTCTTGCAGTTGTGGAGCTGGGAAGCCCAAGATGAAGTCCTGGCAGATTTAGTGTTTGGTGAGGGCCGACTTTCTGGTTTATAGATGATGCCTTATTGCTGTGCCCTCCCATACTGGGAGGATTGAGAAGTTTCTCTCAGGCCTCTTTTATAAGGACTCACCCTATTTATGGGGGCTCCACCCTCTTGACCTCATCCCCTCTCAAAGGTCCCGCCTTCTACTACCATCACCTTGGGTATTAGTATCTCAGCATATGAATTTGGCAGACATCAACATTCAGACCACAGCAATCTCATTTATTTGTGCAGGAAAGAGAGGAACAATTCTGAGAATCTTGTTTTTAACCTGTACATAATGCATCTACTTATGCATTGGCTCTAATGTTATTTGAATTTTTGCTTTCTTTCATAAATGAATTCAGACAAAATCAACTGTGGCAAATGGCCTTGCCAGTTTTTGTCTGCTGTCTGTCACAGATTAGGAACTCAGTAAATATTTGTGGAGTAGATTAGTTATTGACTGTATTTCATAATACCAGCTAAGCTTCTTATGTTAATTCAGGTATCTCTTTAATTATTGGTAAATTATTAATCATGGCTTCTGTATGATTTTCTTACAAAGGGAAATGTCTGATAGATTTTCTTTTGAGTTGGAAATATATGGTATAGGAAAAACCCTCTCAAACTTTATTTTTTCTTCTACTCTCACACAACAGCAATCATCAACACAGAAGAAGACTTCTGTGACCAAATGTGTGGGTTTTCCCCCCTCACACACCAAGCAACAGACACAACTGGGTGTCCTCTAATTCAGTTCTGGCACTCTCTACTACACTGTCTACTCTCAGATAGTGTCAGAGCCTACAGGTTGAGGGCTCAGTCCCCAAGACTGTCCCATCCCCCCGGACACCAACTGCAAGTCCAGGCCTCAGAACTTCTGACCAACAGGGTTCGAGCTGGGGTTCCCATAGTTCCTGGGTTGGATTCCATTAATTTGCTAGGGCAGCTCCGAGAACTCAGGATGCACTTAGGTTTACAAGTTTATTTCAGAGGATATCACAAAGGATACAGATGAAGATATGTGTAGGGCGTCTGATATGCCACCCTCTCCAGGAACCTCCATGTGGTCAGCTCTCCAGAAGTTCTACAAACCCAGGCCTCTGGGGTTTTAAGGAGGCTTCTTAACATCAGCATTCTTTTCCCCAGGGCGTGGTGGCAGGACTCTCTCTGGAATGAGGGTCTTATGACCCACAATCAGAAAGGAGGCAGGGAAGGTTAGAGTCCTGCCTTGGATCAGGTAAAAGGAGGTCAGAGGAAGGCCAGAGAGATTGTTTTCAGACGCCTGAGATTCAGAGATTGCTTTCCTGAGGCCAGACACACCCAACACCATCACAAGACTGTAATAGGGTCTGTAAGAGATACGAGCCAGGAACCAAGGAGGAAACATATAATAATGACACATGTACCAATAGGCAGGTAATACATTTGCCTAAAGTAGTCATAAATTTGTAGCTGGACTCGCTTCTTAGACTCATTACTCTTTATTGCCTTACTCTTATACTCTCTCCTTTAATTTCTCATCATTTCTCCGTTTATCTGAAAGACAGAGCACAAGGTGTGAGTGTGAAGTGGAATTTAGTTGGGCTTGATAAAAGGGTAAAACATTCTATTTCTTGTACTATTACTTTGCTTTGCTCGTATCACTCCCCTTCTATAATTATGTCATGTTCATTCTCAGCAGCTCATAGTTTTACTTTTTTTTTTTTAGTGTGTATCCTTAAAGCGATCTGATAGTTGTGCCTATTTAGTGTCCATATCTGATTGTATTGATCGTGTCCTCTTGCCTTGCAGGAGCTATGCCTGTCCCAGACCAGCCTTCATCAGCCTCAGAGAAGACGAGTTCCCTGAGCCCCGGCTTAAACACCTCCAATGGGGATGGATCTGAAACAGAAACCACCTCTGCAATCCTCGCCTCAGTCAAAGAACAGGTAGAAACATTCCATTCCTGTGACATGTGTTTCAGGATGTTTTAATTGTTTTTCTAGATGAACTTTAAAGATTATTTTGAAGGAAACTCATAATTTTCTAGCAGAGCATTGGTATTTATTATATAAATAATACTATAATGGGAGTCCTTTTGACTCCCATGTTTTAGGCAGACTTTCTTGAAAAAATATTTTATTGGGGGAAAAAAAAACTTTACAATCAAAATTTCCTGTGGGTGAACTTTCGGCAGATTCATTGATGGGTTTGACATTAATGCTATTAAATGTACAAAGTGAAATAATTAGTCTTAGAAAATATAAAATCTAAAAAAAAGTTAAAATATATCTAGGAGGTTAAAAGTTATTATGTATGACAGTAATTGAATATCACATCAAGGTCAAGGCAGATTGTTTTTTCCAGTGTTTTCTGAGATGGATCTGGAAGGATGTGGTCTAAAACTTTTCCTCTCAAACAAATGAAATTCTGAACGATTCTGCCTCCAACATTACTTTGCCAAAAAATACACAAGTAAATAAAATGTGAACCTTAGATTTAAAATGTCACTTTATTAAAGTCATTTTTATTGTAAATAAAAAAGCAGTAAATAATCAAAGAAAGCTGGCCGATCAAGATTCTTTCGTTGACTGCTTCTTCTAAACGTGCCAGAAAATATATCAGTTGTTTTTTATATTAACTAAAAAAGCCTGCTGTGTTTGGGTTATGTGATTTGTTGCTGCTGAATTAGCAACTTACCTGACTCCAGGAACATCTCAGCCGAGCAAGAGCCTAAAATGGGAGCAATTGAGAATAGTAACTCTATTCAAAAAGAAAAAGGGCTCTAGAGGAAACTGATTCTGTTTTATGAGTGGAAACTGATTTAGGTAAGAGTGGGAAACCACCTAAACCGTCATCCCACTGACCGAAAGGATCAATGATGCTATCAGTCAAAAGTGTGCCATCTGGTCAGGAAGTGTGTAGCTAAGTAGGTACTCAAGGGAGAGTTGATAGATTGAGTGGAGAGTCTAGTTTGTGAAAATAGGAAGCAGGGGATTGGGTTGAGCTTTAGGCTGTACTCCTTGATTCGTTTGCTTTCCAAAGCTTACTCTTGAGATTGTTTTCTGATTACGTTTAACAAGAGATAGAAAAAGGGACCACAAAGGGTGTTAATACTACTCCCCATCCTCAGGATCCTACCTTGTTATAGTGGGGTTATGTCATGCTTTCTTATTGAGGTGTGATCTGAAAGTCTTGCTAGGCTGTTAAATTCTGAGTAGTAAGAAAATTTAAAGCACAAAGAATAAATGTAACCAAAAAATGACAAGATCTGTCTGCTGAAAGTTATTTTATCACAAAGACATAAAGTAATTCATAATGAATGAAAAGGCATGGCATGGCCCTCTGTTGAAAAGCTTAGCATCATCACAATATTACTGTCTCCCAAATTAGTTTATAAAATTTAGGTAAGTGTAATCAGAATCCCGTGGCTGGTGGTTTGTTTCTTTGGCAAACTGGATCAAACTATTTTAAAGACCAGTGGAAGTATAAGATATGAGAATGCAAGGAAAGTTTTGTGAAATTTTTATCTTACCAAACATACCAATCACAGTATTACCCAATGGGCTCAAAATAAAGAATGATCTCTATGTAAAACAGATTCAAATATATATCTATGTCTATTCACTTAAAATTAGTATTTCAGTTCATTACAAAGTGGCTTAAATGGTGTTGTCCTAACTGACTCAACATCTGGAAGAAAATTAAAACTGTTAACAGCTTAAAGAAAAAGTAAATCTCACAGGGAAAAAAATGTAACTGTGAAAATAAAACTGTTAACAGAAGAAACTTTGGGGAAAGAGCCTTGTAAATTAAAGGTAGACAAGGTTTTATTAAAAGAGGAAACCCAGAAGCCATACACAAATGGTTGATGTGTTTCACAATATGAATACTAACAGTAATAGCAAGACAAAACTCAAAATAGAAAAGAAAAATAGTTCAAGAGAAAATATGTGCCACAAGTATAATGAAGTGTTGATAAAATTAATATATGAAGACTTCCTAATGTTGGTGAGAAAAAGATAAATTAAAGAATAAAAAACTAGGCCAAGGAAATAAACAGAAGAAAGATGAAAGCAAGTAATAAATGTTCAGAAATGTCCTCTCTAGTGTACTAATTGGGGACATACAATTTTAACTGAAAATAAGACTTATTTTTAATCTACTAGGTAGACAACTGTTGAAAAGTAGTTTATATTGTATGCTATGTAAGAGTTAAGGTTTGGGGAAATTCACATTTTTTTTTTCATTCCGAATGGGAATATAAATTGCTGTCATTTTTCTTTTGGGAAATGATTTGTTTCTATGCATCCACATTTAAAATGTTCAATAACCATTTATTTAATCATATATATATATATATATATTCTGTAGAAATGAGTGACTATATAGATAAAATTTATGTGTATGTATATTTATTATACAATTATTTGAAATAGCCAAAAATTCGGCTTGGTGAAGAGTTGAAAACATTATATTCTTTCTGTAAATATTATATAGTCATTAGTAAAAATGAGTTGGGGCTGTATATCTAACCTTTGGGAAAAAAAATCCATGAGAATTTTAGAAAGGAAATTATATAGTAAGATATTATCCTATTTTTTAAAAATCGTAACATTAGATATGTTTTGGTTTATACATATTTATGAGCATCTAAAAAAGTAAAGAAAGAAACAAATGGAACTATCAACATTGGTAAGCATATGTGTTTTACAGTTAGATGGAGGTGGGAACAGACTGAAGACATGGGGGTAGGTAAGAAAACCAAAAATGGAAAACATATTTGGGAGACTGGAATAAATTTTAGTTGGGTATGGATAATAGGAAATATTTACTCACCTCAGAGTGAAGTTTGAATGTTGAGCAGGCACAGACTGTTTAAGCCAAAACTGTATTACTGTAAATAAAGTGAATTCTCAAAATCCTGAATGAGAATTTAACAAAAACTTACTGTATTAGCTCATTCTTATGCTGCAGATAAAGACATGCCAGAGACTGGGGAATTTACAAAGAAAAAGTGGTGTAATGGACTTACAGTTCCGCATAGTTGGGGAGGCCTAACAATCATGGTAGAAAGCGAAAGACACATCTTCCCTGGCCACAAATAAGAGAGAACATGTGCAAGGGAACTCCTCTTTATAAAACTATCAGATCTTATGAGACTTATTCACTGTCAGGAAAACAATATGGGAAAGACCTGCCCTTATGATTCAGTTACTCCCACTGGGTCCCTCCCACAACACTTGGGTATTATGGGAGCTACAATTCAAGATGAGATTTGGGTGGGGACAAAGTCAAACCATATTACTTGAAAAGTTTTTTTCTGAGGAATTAAAAAATGTGTTGTTCTTTTTGGACAGCAAAGATGAGTTTATTTGGTGACACATAAGTGATGTTTGGAGAGATGCAAATGTGTTCTGGAAACTTGAGATAGAGAAGCCCCAGGTGCCCAAATCAGAGGCTGGGAAGTAGGTCCCAGCATCTGGGACATGTGCAGCATCTGCCTAGGTGAAAGCTAAGTCAACAAGTGGCAGATTTCATGAGCTTTTTGAGGATGGTCTCTTGCACAAAATTGATCTCTTTCATTGGGGGATTTGTATCCTAAATCATCCTTAAAGTTTCCTTTTTTTCTCAAGTCTTGACTATTATCTGTGGAGTAAAAAGTTAAGTTAAATATATTTCTTTCTTTTTTCTTTTTTTTAATTGTACTTCAGGTTCTGGAATACATATACAGATCATGCAGAATTGTTGCATAGGTACACACATGGCAATGCAGTTTGCTACCTCCATCCCCGTGTCACCTGTATCTGGCATTTTTCCCAATGTTATCCCTCCCCTACCTCCCCACCCCACCGCATTGTCCCTCCCTTGGCCCCCCCACAACAGACTCCAGTGTGTGATGCTCCCCTCCCTGTGTCCATGTGTTCTCATTGTACAACACCCGCCTATGAGTGAGAACATGTGGTGTTTGATTTTCTGTTCTTGTGTCGTTTGCTGAGAATTATGGTTTCCAGATTCATCCATGTCCCTACAAAAGACACAAACTCATCATTTTTTATGGCTGCATTGTATTCCATGGTGTATATGTGCCACATTTTCCTTGTCCAGTCTATCGTTGATGGGCGTTTGGGTTGGTTTCAGGTCTTTGCTATTGTAAACAGTGCTGCTGTGAACTTACATGTGCATGTGTTTTTATGATAGAATGATTTATAATCCTTTGGGTATATAACCAGTAATGGGATTGCTGGGTCAAATGGAATTTCTCTGACTAGGTACTTGAGGAATTGCCACAGTCTTCCACAATGGTTGAACTAATTTACATTCCCACCAACAGTTTAAAAGTGTTCCTATTTCTCCACATCCTCTCCAGCATCTGTTATCTCCAGATTTTTTAATGATCACCATTCTAACTGGCATGAAGTAGTATCTCAATGTGGTTTTGATTTGCATTTCTCTTATATATATTTCTTAAAAATTTTATCTGAGTTGGTCTTCAAGTAGTTAGCAGTGGAGTTAAAAATACAAGACAGGCTGGGCACAGTGGCTCAAGCCTGTAATCCCAGCACTTTGGGAGGCCGAGGCGGGTGGATCACGAGGTCAAGAGATCGAGACCATCCTGGTCAACATGGTGAAACCCCGTCTCTACTAAAGGTGCAAAAAATTAGCTGGGCATGGTGGCACGTGCCTGTAGTCCCAGCTACTCAGAAGGCTGAGGCAGGAGAATTGCCTGAACCCAGAAGGCAGAGGTTGCGGTGAGCCGAGATCGTGCCATTGCACTCCAGCCTGGGTAACAAGAGCGAAACTCCGTCTCAAAAAAAAAAAAAAAAATACAAGACAACCGTATGTAAAGAGTTTTAAAATATAAAAAATTATAAATGAAAATGTAAGGAAACTCTTTAGCCAATGTATTATTAAACTCCAGGTGATTTTTCCAGATTAAAAAAATGTG